GTGAGGCTTCCAAGTGCCCGGCGCGGAGCGCGTAAGGGGAGATGGCCTTAGGCTTAGCGTTGGATAGCTTGAGCGACGCTTCAAAATTAAAAACAAAACAAAAAAAACCAAAAAAACAAAAAAAAACGGATTTAGCAAACTTTGACGCTAAAAAGCTACTCGTATTAAAAAAACAAGTAAAAATCCAGCAACACAAAATATTTTTCTAAATAAATTTAATTTACAAAATATTTTAAAATAAAAGATAGAATGAGACGCACACAAATTTGATGAAAAACTTTGCCTCGTCTGTTTATCCTTCATGAGCTTTAAAACTGAAAGACATACAGAATAGTGTTTCCATGCTGTTTAAAAAAAAATCGTATTAAAAAAACAAGTAAAAATCCAGCAACACAAAATATTTTTCTAAATAAATTTAATTTACAAAATATTTTAAAATAAAAGATAGAATGAGACGCACACAAATTTGATGAAAAACTTTGCCTCGTCTGTTTATCCTTCATGAGCTTTAAAACTGAAAGACATACAGAATAGTGTTTCCATGCTGTTTAAAAAAAAAAAAAGGGGGGGGGGGACACGACAGAAGTCAAAACTTAGCGCAAGCACCCCTGCAAGAAATCCTGTGAAGCAAGCAATGTTAAGACAAAAGAACTTTACTCTTCCATAACAAACAAAATTACACATAGGACTGAGTACTTCTACGTTTACAGTACACTTCCTAACTTCTCCTTACAGCAAAGAATTTCCTCTAAAAAGACAACTTTAAGTAAAGACTTCCATCTATTTTATCAACCTATGCAGATCACATTTAAAACACATTATCTCATATACCAGTGACAAAATACTGAGTTTATTTCACCTTATTCTTTCATATAAAAGGACCAACATTTAAACATGATCAAAATGGTTATGGGGGATTAAAAACATTTTGCCATTGTCACCTTTAATCCATCAAGTCCTTTTAAACCAAAACATTTCTTACAAACCACGAAAAAGATCCTTACGGGCTTAAGCAAAGTGACTGCCCTGCATTATATTCTGCCAGTGTCATTCTTCAACGCATACCATGATCCAACCAAATCCAACCGAATAGTGTAAAAAAAGATCACATGTGACAGTAGCCACAAGGACCTACAGATAAATGCACTCTATTTCCTTTAAGCTTCCGTCGTACAGAGAACATGCAAGCCGGGTCAGTTATGCATGTATGCTCAACCTAGAAAAATTTCTCATCTTTTTCATTGTTTTCAGGGAAAACACCTATTCATCTACAACAGCCTTCTCAGAATTCATTCATAATTCTACATTCATGAACTTCTACACAGAAATTACTTTAAATTTAAAAACTTGAGGGTCATTTACTCCTTAGCACTCCGTAACACGTTTCACGTTCGATCAAGCACGTTATGGGGTGATTCCTTTGAAGCATTCTTCAGAGGGGTGGATGCTCCTTCACATTTGTTATTAGGAAAATAAGCTTAGCTCTTTGATGACACCAAATGAATCTTTTGTCATTGTGTTCTGGCATGACCCATCTTTAAAAATAACTACCTGAATTATAATCCAGACTAAATTAGCACTATATTTTTAAGGAAACCACAGCCTTACAGAAGATACATCACCACCATTACAATTACTGATGTTCGGCATAAAAAGAACCCATGAGAGCCATACCTCTATAGGAAAAGTGTCAGTGCTCACAGAGGAAATTCCAATATAAATAAATAAACTGAACATTACATCCACTTAAAAGAATTAAAGGCAGTAACCCAGTCAACAACTAGAAATTCGTTCAGCAAAAAAATACACAATTCAGTGTTTAAACAGAACGAGTGCAGTAAGTTCTCAGAACCACGTAGAAGTTTAGAGTACCAACACGGACTCCACCCTTCTCCCCAAAGGTCAGCATGTGGAAGAGACCAACTTTTTCCAATGTGCCACTGGTTATTCTTTAGAGATATTTTTGAGAGAGACCTGCTTCTTCCTTCTTTGGCAACAAACGGTCAACCGAGTCAACGACTGCCAGATCAACATAGCCTTTACTGTAAAATCACCCTCCAGATCAACGGGACATGCACTCTTGGATGAGTACGCACACGCATTGAAATGGAGGCATCAGACACCTAAGGAGTTTTGACCCATGCAGCTGCGAGTCGCAGATCTCTGCCCTTCAACTCCGCTCCCCTTAAAGAGGAGCTGTCCCCCATCGAGCAGAGATCAGCTACTTCCACCTACCAAACGAAGTACCAGTCCATGAAAATTTACTTTGCTCAGATATGAATTTTAAAATAGATGTAAAGCTGTAAGAATTATAGCTCACGATATTAAAAAAATAAAAACTATGTATCTAGCACATAAGCTTTCCTATTTTCTTTCACTGTCAACTGGCAATGATCCAGCCTGACCAGCAGGTAAAAACACTAACTAGTAGGGTTATCCGCAAACAAAAGAATGCCAAAGAACTAGTAGGTCATTTTTTTCCAGGAATGACTAGTAATTCTGGTCACCCAAACAGCAAAGCGCTCATTTTTCTGAAAAACGAGTTCTTTTATAGCCTGTTTCTTGTTGGGCACCCAAAAACATGAAGCCCTTTGGAAGATATTGACCTTAGTGTTTTCTGAATAATCAACTGAGCTACAGAAAAAGCCATTATTCAGAATATATATAAAAGGCACAATCATGAAAGAATTTTAAAAAGGACATTATCAAGTAAATATGCTCCAAATTCCATTTTAGTGTTTTACTAGAGTGCCTTCCAAACAGACTGGATTTTAAAAGAAAAAATCAGTTACCAGCTACTTTTAAGCCACTGTTTGTCAAAATCCTACAGCATTTTTTTTCTACTGTAGGACAGAAAAGACAAGAAAAAGCAGAGTTAGGCTTTTTAGTCTGAGAACTGCACTGACACCACTGATGTCGGGTTATTTTTTAACAGTACAAATACAAATGCTGGAAATCATGTCCGCATGCGGTAGTATGAACATGATACGTGCATACTGACTTGAAAACTACCCATAAACCAGCAGTTTTCAAGCCACGGAGTGTAAAGAAGACAGAAACAGTTTTATTGTGAAAGGAGATGAAGGCGGAGTTAGAAAGCAGGAAGGGTAGTACTTGATAGTGTCCTTTCAGAAGGTGGCATTCAATGGCCTCGTTATTGCTGTGTATTTGCTAGTATTCAGCTTCTTACCAGACATATTTACAGCATGTCAGTCTGAACATTCCCAGAGCACAGCTCTAAATTTTACTTTAGAGATACAAACATAGAACAGTTAAACACATGTAGTCCTGTTTTAGAAACTGAACTTTTAAAGTTTAGGACTTCTATTGTGCTTCTTTGGCTAAGTCCTATTTAAATATCGATAACGCTTAAAATTCTGTAACTCTGCCACTATTTAACAGCTAACAGAAATCTTTGGTGTGTTTAGGTTAAGAATCCATTAGGGTATAAGCTTCAAAATATGAACATTCAGGCAGCTCTGGCCCCTCTGCTGCAAACTGCTCAACACTGAAGTCGATGGGAATTAACAGAATCTAACACCGAAGTATTTGAATAGGATTTAAAATGATCCATGCCACTAGAGAATTTATAGAACTGCGATGATGAAAAAAGCTTTTCACCACAGATCTCTTGTGCTCAGGTCATTGGATAAATTTAACAGTTACAATAATACACATACATCCAGTTTCCCATTTTAAAGTTTCTTTAAGACAATAATTTAAAAATAAGGAAAACTGAGGAAAAATTTGCCTCGATATGTAGTTCTTGTGAGGAATAATGAAGATTATAAAATTACTTCAGATACTTTCTTTGGCATAATATTCACCAAACACAGAATAACTATTTTTGAAGTAGGCTTAAAATAGAAAGCTCGATGAGGTTAAAATTATACTGGATTTCACGGTGAATTACACTAGACTTGTAGTTCAAAATGGTTCTTTTGGAAAAAACCCTTATGTCTAGTAAAGAAAAAGCTAAAGACAATTAAAGACATAAAATACTCTCAAGAGTTTGACTTTGTTTTATAAACACAGTACAAGAAAGTGAGAAACAAAACAATTTCATTAGCAACTCACAAGAGATTTGTAATCACTGATTATTTATTTTTTTTTAAATAGAAGTTGAGAACTGTTCTGGAAGTAACAGCCTTCAAATTTCTTCTCTATCACAGATACCCTGAAAATGGCCATGCTAATGTGGGACCCTGGTATAATTTATGCTCTAACAAGAATAAACTATGCCAATCCTTTATGACTGTTCATAGACTAAAATGACCTTCCAAATACTCCCATTTCTTTCAAAGTTAGAGTGCGGGGCACACTTCAAAAGACAAACGATTGAAAAAGCAGAAAAAATGCATATTAAAATTATAAATGACTAATTGTAGAAAAATAGACAATACCATTGTCTAGATATTTCCACATAATTCAGTATTAGAGATCAAGGAAGAATTAAGGGGCCAAATTTAGGCAGCCTAATTATACTCAGGGGCATCACCAAGAACCCCATTCAGTGTCTTCATAAAATATCTGAATCACTTTTCAGAAAAATCTAGTTCCTGCGTCCATTGGCTAGGCTCCAGAGTTCAGTAGACTTTAAAACCCTCAAAAAATGCCTGAGGGTTCAAGTAAAATTATATTTTAATTTCTATGTGAAACATAAATCAAAGTTTGTGTTTTATATCCCTGCCTGCCCTTACAACTTTAATTAATTTGATATAGTCCTTATTCTTCCAGAATAATTACACTTAAAACATCAATTCAAAGCGAGATGCAGAAAGGCAAACAATTTTTTTTTTAAATTAATAGCCAGATATGTAATTACATTTTTCAGCCACTATCCTTAAAAGATATTTCAGAGCATAATTTTTAAAAGACCATTATATGATTTTTAAAAACTCTTAAAATCAACAAACCTGTTTTTCCAAAACTATGCAGAAGACTCATGAGTCCAAATAAAATATAAAATATAAATCTTAATTGCCATATCAGCCTTCTGTTGGCTAATGGCTTAGTGAATTAGGTGGAATGTTATGGTCTGATCATGAATGTTCATTGTTTGAAATATTCTGTACAGTAGGAGCTGTATCTAGCCCCAGTAAAGTTCCAAGATATGACTGGTCTCTAGGATCCAACATTTGCTCAGGCCTTACAGGATGAACAATATTTGCAGGTTGTGGAGTAAGAGTGTATTTCTCTAGAAATGACAGATCTGTTGCTCGTTGATAATCTGTCTGCTCAGGTTGTGGAGGAAGAATGCCATGTGACTGCGCAGTATGCTGTACTAGATCAGCTTGTGGATCAGGCATCTGAACTGGTACCAGAGTCACAGGCACACATACTTCTGTAGATACATTCTGTAGCAAAGTTTTGGCTTCTGACTGATACGCTTTGGACTGTTCCACATACTCTTTAGCCTCAGTTTGGTAAACTTTGTCATCAGAGGTGTACTGCACTGGTAAGGAGACTAGCTTTTCCTCTGAAGAAGATGTCAGTGCCTCTTCTGCAGCCTTTGATCCATGAACATGATCAATATGATACTTCAGCTTGTCTTTTCGTTTAAATGTTGCATTACAGTGTTGGCAATTAAAAGGTCGAGCATCTGAATGAATAACCATGTGTTTTGTTAATGTCTTCTTAATTCTAAAAGACTGATTACAGATTTGACATTTGTAGGGTTTCTCGCCTGTAAAGGCAGAGAAGAATTAGTTATTCTGAATAACACCATGTCGCACATAAACATGCAAAACACATACATGGATTATGGCATAGAGACCTAGTATAAAATAATTTTACTGAAAACAAAGAGCATATGTTTAGCAACAATTTTGGAATCAAGGGAGCCATTAGAAGTTTGTTTAGAAGTTACATTAACATACTCTTCTCCTGACATACAATTCGCTCAATACTTGGGATTTCTGTCAGGTACACACACAGAATATAAACCAAATAAATACTGTTATGATACTGGCATTAAGCGAGCTCAATTTGTACTTCTACACATTTCGAAAGGACAGTGATTTCCCTAAACATAAGGCAGGAAAAACCAAGTCAAACATACAAGGACATAAATCTTTCCAAAGGGATTTCAAATCCTTGTTTAGATTACCACTTGAAATTTAGTATTCTCTGGACCACAAAAAAGACTTGGTCTGGGTAGCTTTGGCAAGAATATACCAGTAAACTAAAGGAAAAGGTGTAGAGAGCATACCACAAACCTGTGTTGAGGATCATCAGTATTTCAACTGATCTATTCAGAAGGTAGTATTCAAGAATGACCAACATATGAGAAAGAATAAAAAGTCTTGCTGCTTCCTGCTACTCTTACCCTGAATGCTCAATGACCATAATGAATTAAATAATTCTGCCAATATTGATGCATAACGATGCATAAAAATACATTTTGTGGTTTTGTTGGGGTTTATTTTATTTTTACCTGAATGTGTCCTAAAATGCATTTCCAAACTTGACTTCCCTTTAAAAACTTTCTTACAGACTTCACACTGGTGAAACGTTGCTTTATATCTTTAAAGAAGAAAAGACATTCATGTTAGATACTTTTTCCTTTTTTTTAAAACCAACTAATAATAAAGCTATGTGTACAGTCCTTTCTGAAATCTTTAAATGCAAAATAGCTGAATATCAAAGTTTCCAAATTTCCTCACATATGTTCATATTTCCTGACATCTCCATACCAATAAGGTCAATTAAGATGCTTTTCGATATTCAAGCTTATTCTCTACTGAGATTGCCACTTAGTATTCAAAAAGCAAAAGCCACTACAACTTCTTTTCTGACCCCTAAAATACCTTTAAGTAACAGCTTTGGCCCAACATCCACAAGAGGCTTTCACTTTGGCAGAATTATGCCATAAATAGCACTACAAATGGTTTAGGCTACTGGCTACCAAGAAGAAACAAAGAGAATAAGCAGATAATGTACTGTATTTTCAACAGAGACATCTATAATGGCTTCTAACACAATGCTAATGATTACAAGCAGTTAAAACACATCATTCGAAAAACAACAAGGTCTCAGTTTATTTGAAAATCTCCAAAAGGCTTATTTCTGGAGCTCAAGAATTTAAAAACCCTATTGCATTTTCAATTTACAGACATAATTAGGGTTTCAAAGTTTTTACCTACTTTCAGAGCCACTAATCTGCTACCAGCTTCTAAAATAGAAGCATGGGATAGTTCTCATAATG